CAGCTGTAAAGATTCGTCCTTGTTAAATCAAGAGGCTTCCTTAATTATGAGAGACACAATTATCCTATCAGTAATCCAAGTCAAATACAACATATACACAGACAAGGGAGATATGAACTTTGTTCTTTTGCAAAAGTTAATGAAACACACCTACAGCTTGAAGTGCCTATAAGAAAGGGTACGCAGGAAATAGTCATCCTATAGACCCCACACTGCCTTCCTTCTCTTCATGGCAATCAAATGAAAGGTAAGTTCAATTCCTTACTCAAAATTGAAGAAAGCTTAGCTTCCCCTTTAGCATTTCTTTCTTTCCCTTCACAGTCCCATCAATTCATATCCTAAAACTTTACAGCTTTCAGTGGCATCCTGATTCCTTGCCTCAATAAGTTGAATACTCCCACATGGGAGTGGATCATCAGTATAATTTTACGTGAACGTAGTTTATGCAGTATATACGTATCAAATTTTAACGGATTTGAGATATTCTTGCAAACTGCTTAAGATATGTCCTTGGTTTTGAAATAGACCCGCGAACCTCCATTTGATACCAGAACATTTGTTAGACTGAAAAATTGAAATAAACTTATAATAATCTTTCCTTCTCTAATTACTTGCTTCAAAATATAATGATTAGGTGGTTCATGATACATCGGTAGTAGATGATGGTGATGGTTGTGGTCCTTTCCTAAGCGTGAATGCTGGCATCAAAGAAGCTTCATCAGTCATCATGATGATTTCACTTTAGTGTAATGGAGAGAGTGTCCATAAATTTTTGGCACATATGATTCACTGTTTTATTTGATGAACCATTATGAGATAACCTGCTGCTTAAGTAAACTTGATAATTGTATGCAGTTCTTTTCCCAAGTGTGAATGCTGGGGCCAAAGAAGCTGCATTAGTTTTCATGATCATTTCGTTATACTGCGACTGATAAGCAATCGATAATTTTCACATTTATGATTTACACATTTTGCCACTGAACCAGTATGGGATAACCCTTTGTACTGCTTAAGTATAATCAATAACTCAATGAAGTTGAACTTTCTTAATGCCAGAACACAGTACCCAAGTTGGCACATCAGTAAAAGCTATACAGAGAGAAAAATAAAAGAAAAAGAAAAAAGAATTCAATACAGATGTGAACACACACACACACACACACACAGAGTCCTAGAATAAATTCTACCGGAATTTTGATTTGGTTGTTAGAAGGTCAACAGTACTGCCAAAAAATTTGGAATTTAAAGGTTGGATCCTGTACCAAAAACTAAAAAAGGATTCAACTTGATTGGAATACTCCTAATTGAAAACCAGAATGATTCTGAATGATTTGAGTGACTTAGTGAATGCTAGCATGCATTCTTGTGAAGGAAAAATTCACAACTCACACACTAAATCACAGAAACGCCTTAAAATAGATGATATTTATCTTAATCTTGGCAAGTTCAATTGAAAAAAAATATTGCTCCTGGTAAGTACCATGATTAGTAGCTCATTGTATATTTCACCAAATTTGAGTGGATAAGTAGCTTGAAAAGACATGTTCTAGTAAAGAAAGAGGTTGGGTAGATGTATCAAAATAATAAAAAATATTATTAGCCTAATGTTCCGTGCCTTCTGCAACCAACCAAACAGTTACTCTTCAAAATTTAGATACCTCGAAGACGAGGAAAACCGAAGATTACATCAAGTATCAACTTTCAACTGAAAATTTTAGAGTTATAGCAATCTAGTTTATTAGAGTTTTTCTCTTTTTATCTTTTTATTCTTATTGTGACTTTTATTAGTTATATAAACAGAGACTCTACACTTAATTTGTATCCCTTTTTACTCACCAATATATCAAGTTGGTATCACAACCAAAACCTCTAACCCTAGCCCCTTCACCACGTTGCAGCCATCAGCCACCGTGACTACCCAACCCAACAGCGAAACGCAGCCGGTAACTACATTGACAAGCAGCCTTCCACCGATTGTCCATCCTCATACCAGTCCATAGCAGCGACCCACAACCCATACCAGTCCATCTCTAACACTCCACCGATACTCAAATCATTTGACTTAATATACTCTAATATTTGGGGACCTTCTCCTGTTACTATTCTGTCTGGTGCTCAATATTATGTGACATTTATAGATGACCATACTCGTTGTACTTGTGTCTACCTTTTGCATAGGAAGTCTAATGTACTCTCTGTCATCCCTCAGTTTTTCCAAATGATTAAGACACAATTCGAAGTAATTGTTCTTGTTTTTTGTTTGAATAATGCTAAAGAATATGTAACTGATGCCTTAGTGTCTTACCTTTCTTCTCAAGGTATCCTTCAGCAAGTCACTTGTCCATATACTCCTAAGCAAAATGGAGTTACTAAAAGGAAAAATAAGAGTCTGATACGGATGGTATGTTGTATGCTTAGAGGTATGGGGGTACCAAAATCTTATTGGCATTTTGTTGTTTTGACTTTTACCTTTCTGTGCAATCATACACTGAATCATGTTCTTTAGCATAGGGCTCCCTTACAGGTCTTATTTCTTGAATGGACACTTTTTTCGGTCCCCCCTTGTGTTTTTGGCTGCACTTGTTTTGTTCAAAATCGGTCTCCTACTCGCCGTAAGCTTGATGATAAAGTGATTCGTTGTGTCTTTGTGGGCTATTGTCATCAGTTTAAGAGGAATTAGTGTTATGATCCTATCAGGTATCATATATATCACTGTCTAAATGTTATCTTTCATAAACATATTCCTTATTTTTCTCCCAGTCGTGTGTCTGCCCCTTCAATTTATGATACTCTTTTTGATTTTTCGTTACCACAAGAGCCAGAGTCATTGGTTACTATCACTATGTAGTCATCAGTCTCTCCTCCTCCAGAGCCACTCATCTCTGTTAGTACAAAGTCATCAGTTTCTCTTTCTTTGTAAGTTTATGTTCGTCACCCTCGCTCTCATCCCCCTACTGATGTTCCTTCTATCTTAGGCGATGCAGATAATACTTCTTAGTTATATGAACATATTAATGCACCTGTTGTTAGTACTGATGAGATTGTAAATACTGAGCCAGTTACTTTACCTAATGAGACATTGTTAGTGGAGGATGATGATTTAGAGCGTCGATATCCGCGGTGTGATCGTTGTCCAATTGTTCGTTATGGTTGGACTGTTAGAACTTTATATTTGATATCTGCTTATGTTTCTTGTGATGCTCTATCTCCTACGTTTCGAGTTTATAGTATGATTTTATCAGATACGTCGGTTCCTCGCTCTGTTTAAAAGGCTATGCAGGAGCACCAGTGAATTCTTGTCATGCAGACGAAGATGGACGCTCTTTAGCGTCATCATACGTGTGATCTTGTCTCTTTACCTTCAGGGTGAAACCTATTGGCTGTCGTTGGGTCTGTACTCTGAAATTTCTTGCGGATGGTACTATTGATCGTCACAAGGCTAGGCTTGTGGCGAAGGGTTTTACTCAGCTACCAGGTCGTGATTTTGGGGCTACTTTTGCCCCCATGGTAAAGTTGACTATTATTTAATTGATTATTTCTCTGGCTGCAGAGTATTCTTGGACTTTTCATCAGTTGGATGTGAATAATGCATTTCTTTATGGTGATCTAGATGAGATTATTTATATGGATGCACCACTGAATTTTCGTGATGAGGAGGAGTATGTTGGAAAGGTATGTCGACTACGTAAGTCTCTTTATGGACTGAAACAGTCACCACAGGCCTAATTCTCTCACTTTAATGGTGTAGTTGTACATTTAGGGTTCACCAAATGTCATTTTGATCATACCTGCTTTATTCGACGGAATACTTCTGGACAGTGTGTCATCCTTTTGGTATATGTTGATGATATTATTATTACTGGAGATGATGTTTCTGGGACTGCGCAGGTCAAAATAGACCTTGGAAAGGCCTTCGATGTGAAGAATCTTGGATTTCTGCGATACTTTCTTGGGATTGAGATTGCCCATAGCAACACGTGTATTATTCTTTTTCAAAGAAAATATGTTTTGGATCTTCTCTAAGACACTAGAATGCTGGGGTTCAAACTAACATTTACCACCCATTATTCTAAACTTGAAGATTACTGCTGAAAGTAAAGAGTTGAGAGATCCGGCTGTCTATCAGAAGTTAGTAGGTAGACTTATCTACCTAGCCAACACTATGTCAAGCATTTCATTCGCTGTCAATCGAGTTAGTCAGTTCATGCATAGGTCATGTCAGCCTCATCTTGATGCAATTTATCATTTTCTTCGGTACCTCAAATCTTGTCCTGGACTTGAATTTTCTCTAGGCTGTTATTCAGATTCAGATTATGGGAAAACGTATAATGGTTGATCTACTACGGGCTTCTATGCTTTTTGAGGGGCTCATCTTATCTTTTGAAAGAGCAAGAAACAGTTAGTTGTCTCTCACTCGTCAGTAGAGGCAGAGTATTTGGCACTAGCACTTGGTACATGTGAGATTATTTGGCTACGATCGATTCTTGGCAAGCTAAGATTTTCAGTAATTTCTTCATCTATATTATATTGTGATAATCAATTTACTATTCAACTCGCTTCTGACTCTATATTTACACAAGAGAACGAAACATATAGAGATCGATGTTCACTTTCTTCGGAAAAAGGTTAGCTGTGATATTATCACTCCATTGTTTGTAAGAATCAGTGATCAGGTTATAAATATTTTTACCAAACCTGTCATTCTATCCATTCTTCGAGACTTCGTTGTCAAGTTTGGCTTAGTTGACATTTTTGCGCCTAGCTTGAGGGGGAGTGTTGGAGTTATAGCGGCTTAGTTTATTAGGATTTATTAGAGTTTTTTATTTTTTATCCTTATTGTGACTTTTATTGGTATATATATATATATATATATACACGGGGTTCTACACTTAGTTTGTAGTCCTTTTTACCCACCAATACATCAAGTAAATCGAATATAAGATTGATGAACAATATTAGATACAAAACCAAACTAGAGATATAAGCCATGGGGACAAACCCAAAATTTCCCATTCATGAAAATGCCAAATTACATGTAACAAACATGAAAATTGTTCAACAGGGACAAGCAACACCCACAAACAGTTCAACCTACAATATCTTTTGACACAAAAAGCAATCTCTGCATATCAAAAAACTGAAAATCACAACACAACCAATTTTATAACATCATCTACTCTATATATTATATGCTTTCAGTCTTGTATAATATCCACGTGATCCAAATCTTGACCAACTTTTCCTGAAACTTTCTTGGGTGCTTCAAATACATCTTTTGACGAAGTTCTGTATAGCTCTAGCGGTCCCAAGAGATAGAAGACAACAAGCTGTTGAACTCATAGAAACAAGACAAAAAGTAGCCAAGCTTGGTAATCATGATAGCAATTGCTCATCTCCCTCAGTTATGTGAATTTTTTAGCCCTTCATGGCTACCCATAAGCATTGGTGAATAAAGATCCTTGCACAAATCCAGTGAATAGAGATCAGTATCAGCACTCCTCCTGGTTACTCCCCTAGAAAGTGGACTAGGCTTCTTATGTAACTTTAAACTGTCTGTTGAATGTCTCTGCATATCATGTTGTGAATAATTGTAAACTCTTTGCTTAGCCTTGATGGACTCTGTAGGATACATGTAGCTCTGTTTAGTAATATGGCCCTCTGCTGGAGTCTTGATAGATCCCGGGGTTTCAGAAGTGGATGTGGATGAATTTGATGTGGTGCTGTCATCGAACAGAAATTCAGAGCATGGTTCAGAAGATGAATGCGTAATTTGACAGGCTATGAGGGGTTTAGATGATATCCCAGTAAAAATGTTACTCCTAACTTTCATTGTTGAATCATATTCAGTATAATCTCCATATTTCTTAGTACTTGGAGTATGGAATTCTGATGGGTCAGTATGGAATTCTTCCATCAATCTACTTTCCCAAGGCTTGGTGACCACCCAACCATCTAGCCATCTCCACTCTGAGTTGTTTGTATCTGCCTTGTTAGAGACCAACCCCTTGTTTGTTCTGGAATTTGGGCTTGCGTTTCTCCTCAAATGCTGGAAGCAAGATAATTAGAATCAAAATAAGAAAACTTCTACATTTTTTAGTAGTGTCGAATTCATTACCTGTTGAGAGAGGGAGTATGCAATTGCTCTCTCCCTCTTGATAGCTCCTTCTTGCTTCATTTGTAGCTTTGCCCTCACTTCTTTCACTGATCCTCGACTATCACACCAAGCATCCTGTCAATAGCAGGCAAGAGCTTTATTGGTTTGTTTATTTCCAATCATGTAACATTTATGTCAATTGAACATCTTTTTTTACCTCAGCTTGCTTAACAGGATTAGCTTGGTTTCGATTTTGATCGAGTAACTTTTGTGCAGCCTGCCCTTCTAAGGGCGTCTGAACGCATTGAGCCCTAACTCGAGCCTGAGCTCGAACAAGAGCCTGCATACACCTTAGTGTCAATGCAGCTTGTTTCCTCACTTGCCGGCCACGAACTATGGCTTGTAGCCTCACCAATGCTCTCAAGGCCCTCAAAGCCCTTCTTGCCTTCCACAGTCATTGAATAATAGTATTAGATAAAAATATCATTCACAAGAGACCCACGGTTCAACAATGTCCATAATTTTGTACAAACACAGTGAAAGAGGATTGAAGACATTTGAACAAACACCTAAAGCACGTCATAATTATAATAATTAGGATGAACTTTTTTTAATTTTGGTATCCTTGGCTGGACAATTTCCAAGAATTTTGATGATTAATAACTTGAGATTTTCACCACTGCAGATGCTTACCTCACAGTAAGCTGTTGCAGAATTACTGCAAATCTGGCATATTTAGTTCGGTTTTCAACACCTGTTTCCATTTATGGAAATGAATTTTTCTTTTCTTGTTCAATAAAGGTGAGGAGTGTGCACACTAATTTACCCGCACCTCGACTAATCCAAGTCTACTGCTTAGACTAGGGAGGAAAAAGTTTCAACAACCGGAGTTTCAAAAACTAATTTGAAATTATTTTGACATTTCTGAAACGATGCAAACAACTCTGTTTTCACATTCACTTTCTCCTTAATAATCACATCATCTTAGAACAATCCTCAGAAGTTATGACAGCTCTATTTTCATTTTCGTAGGTCTTGTGTAGTTCAAAACCGTCCTTGAACTTGGAAATCCAGCATCGTCATAACCTCATATATCAAAAACACCAAAAAACAAAGAATTTTCACAGAATAATAGAGCTCAATCAATGGACAGAGAAACCCACTTACCAATAAAGCCCGAAACATGGTCTGAATTCGAACGGCAGCCCATTCTTGTCTCACCACCATGAAATCTTTGTGTGGAGCTCGAACCAAAGTGGCCACAGCAACAGCCAAAGCACCATCAGACATGTACGAAGAAGAATCAGACGCCTCGGACCCGACCAATTGGCATCTTTTCACACCCTTTGACGAGAACCCAAGTCCACCTGGAGAAGAAGAACTCCTCCACAGCTTCCATTTTCTGCTCTTACCACCCACCTTTTCCTACATACCAAATACAAATCAAAACACAGAAAACAGTTAATAGTATGATAGTAGATTATCATCTAACAACAGTCGCTTACTTGCTCTCCGGTTTGAGGTCTAGCTTGGAGACCAATCACTGATTTAATCCACTTTCCTGGACCACCCATTAGATAAGATCCTCTATCTTCAACAGAAGAATAAGAGTTAAACTTAAACCTCCGCTTTTTTATGTCCAGAGAGAGAGAGAGAGAGAGAGAAGTAGAGAAGACGAGACGTTTGCCGTTCAAGCGTTTACAGAGTCGATTTAATTTAGTGGTAATACGAGGGGTTGGTTTGAATTTTGAAATTCGAAAAACAAGGGAAAGTTGTAACGGATATGAAGACTTCTTTGGTCTACCTAGTAGTATAAAATATATTTATGACAACGTTGTAGGTTTACATAGTACAAAGAAATTCAGGTAGTTATGTGTACGGCTAAGCTGTTAAAGCGCTCCTTGTTCCAAAACTTCCATTCCAAGTGCTTAAGAGTTCTAATGAGGCAACTTGTCTTAGCCGGAGAATATGTCATTCCCAATTTTTAAAATTTTTAGTTAAGATCATGGTCTATCACAAAATCAAAATTGTATGGTGCTGGAGACACGCTTCGAGCCAAAATGCAGTTATTCATAAGAGAGACTTATGTGAAAATTTTTAAAATAATGTGGGTCATGTTATTTAATGGAAGCTTTGAACTTAAAAGAGTCACATATGCAAGCTTTTACTCTTTGATGATTTTATCTAAAAAATATATTCAACGTAACGGTAAGATCACGTGGTCGTCATTATAAAATATCAATATTTAAAATGGCAAGTGAGCATGTTAATGTATGTAGTAGTTTCTTTATAAAATTACATGCTTTATAAATTATGCACATAATAGAGCAAGTGAATTCTACATTAATTGGTGACTTCCCTCTACTCTCACCCTCTTGAGCGATGAAAAAATCACACGATTATACTTTGCCAATTCTTGGAGCACGAGTCTGTATTTTTTGTTACTTAATGTTGATGTATACACAATTGGCTCTTTTCCATCCTTGAACAACGATAATCAATATGTCAATCTATCATAGAGAAACCATTTTTGAACTTATTTTTCATTTAAAATTCATTTGAACGTACAATACGGGACCAGTTCTTGAAATAACCTTCATTTGATATTCTTTGACGATGTAGTTACACAAATTCAAAAGGAAAAAAAGAGTTGTATAATTGCTAAAAATAAATCAATGGTCAAAATTCAGACATCGAGTCGAAAAAATCGACTAGTTGTTTTGATCTAAAAAAGAAGGTCAATCTTAAATGATACATCTTTAAAGTCAAGGAAAAGCTAAAATAGCCCAATCTCTTATCCCAAAAGTTATGTCTATGCCCAGATTAGGTTAAACTAGGTGTACTTTTTTTTATCGATGAAGTAAACGATCATGCAGTAAGGGCACAAGAAGAGCCTCAAAAAATTGCAGTTGTACCTTTGAGGTTCAACTAACTCAAAAGAATTCACCTCAATTAGTATTGGTCACAAGGAACCTTGGACTAGGGAGTCCCATGTTAGAAACTCTAGGTGAAAGATGTATCCTAGGACTTGGTCTTGGTGATGGGATTGGACAGCAGCTTCCAAAGGGTCCTGGCATGACTCTTGGTGATAAATTGACCTGTTCAAGTGCTTGAAATTGTAGCTCTGCAGGGTATTCCCTCACACAACCTATACGAGGACCAGCTCCTGTGGTCCATTTGGATGATAGTCGTCTGCATAACGCCAAAGCTGGTGCTTTAAGATTGTCTCCAGAGGTGTCAAAATTGCCTTGATCATAACTGTCTTTAATGGTGGTGGTCATGGTGTGCCTATTTGCCACAGCTGATTCACCATCAACAACTGGGATACTGTCTGAAGGGATGTCCCTAATTGACTTTGATTTAAGCTCCTCATCATTGGTAATTCTCGGGAAGTCATCGTCATCTACTGCACATCTCTGCAGCAAACATCCATGAACATACAGCTAAGTTGGATATGCACGGGTAATGCAACTTCATATGAACAATAACGTTTAATACTAACCTTGACATTGGTCAAGTCGACATGGTGCTGCTCAAGGAAGCTAATGAACTCCATAAAATTCTCTTCTGTTGGGTGGTAATGACCACTGTATGGCCATATAGCCTGGCAAGATAAGAAAAAAACTCATCAGTAGATAGAACCATGGGTACTTGATAGGTCTCCGACATAGCCTGTTGGCCACCGCCATTTGATAGGATGAGTAGGGGATCCCAAATACTGCTAATTCCATTGGGTATTAGGTGATCCCATAGGAAATTAATCATGTATGTATGGTAATATATTTGTATTGTTCTTTGTTTATGTTTATACGAGACACACCTCAATAATGCCACCATGGGCCACCAGCCGTCCAGCTGCAGTGGTGGCACCACCAGCTAGAAAACTCGAGTGTTGAAACCTGCCTTTCATTTTCTGCCCAACATACAAATTCCTAGATGTGCTGAGGACAAATATCCACTTGGAACCCTCAACAGTTTCCACAGACACCCTACTTTGTCTGTAGACAAGTCTCCCACTCTCTACAATCACTTCATATGCTTCCCTCTCTTTCTGCAATAGCAATCAGCAGACATCATAACATTAAACACACATCTAACCTTCTTAAATTGGGTAAAAAAAACCTCAGACATTGTCACTTTTGCCTGTTTTCTATTCTTCTGTCTGTTACCATAAGAATGGTAGTTTTGCAACTTACGGGTCCAAGATATTTGATGCATTGATTCTGTAATTTAGTCCTGGGGCACTTTTCAAGAGTCGCCTCTTTACCATCTCCAACATCCAACCTTCAGTTTCACAACGGAAGCAATTAACATATATGAAAAGAATAGAGAGAACTATGGTTAAAAGGAGATTTTAAGTGTTTTAAGACATTTACTGAAAGGTTATTGGAGTTATATATTTACCAGTAAAAGAAAGGTTGTGAGCTCAGACTATCGAACCAGACATTGTAATACAAGTGTAGATTGTGTCCATACCGGTGGCGTGGATCAATCTGTGAAAAAAATAGGAGAAGAAAAACCATAAGCAAGCCATTTCTTCAAGGATAAGTACTCTAAACAATGAATTTGAACTGAAGAAAATACAGAATAATATTGTACTTACAGCTTCAAGCCAATGTCTAAGAGCTAGTTTTTGAGCCTTTTCATCCTTGGACAATCCCTTTCCAACCTATAATCACACAGAAAAAAGCTTATCATTCAGTTATTCACTAACATAAAACAGGCTACAAGAATAGGGACGGACAATATACTTTTCCATAGGGAACGAACAATTACCAACATAAAAAATAACGCCTTGATTATATTTGGTCATATCATATACAAATTGAATGACAACTATACGAAGAATAATATAAGAATCAATCAAACTAAAACAAACGATACCTTAGCTGCCCTAGTCCTAGCTCGTGTCCACCGCGAAACAGCACTCTCTGCTTTCTCATTGGTAAAGAATGATACAGAACTGCGATTGAGAGCTGCAAAATCCAATGCCTTCCACCTACAACATTTGAGGGAACCATTCAACTTGAGAATCAGCAAAAAATCAACACAAACTTGCCACTAAGGCTGTAAAAAATTAAGCTTAGTATGAAAAACCAGAGATAAGTAAAAGCATTAACCATAACTCCTCAACAACAACAGCACAATCTGCTAAGTTTCTTCTAGTTCGGTAACTCTTATAGACTTTCTGCACTTTGACTGCACCTGCATTCAGCTCACCACCAGGCCTTGGAGAGAACAAAATTGTGGGTTCAAGTAAGGATTTTTCGGGATTGGATGTTTGAATTGGATGATCACCTTTAGTTACCCCCATATCTTCTCCATTCTGAACTTGCTTCTCTAATGAAAGAGTAACTCTAAGTTTTAGCTTTTTAGGATCCCATTTCTTGATTGTAACAGATTCTTGGACAACAAACTTATTGCAACAATCAGACATATCATTCTTATCTGAATCCGTTTTCTTGAAGCTAACCATTCTAAATGTCTCCCCCTCCCCTGGGTTACTGCCAATCAATCTTACTCTAATTTCATCATGAATTTCATGCATTCCAAATAGCCTGTGTTTCAGAATGTTCTTCAGAGCTGATAAAGGGAAAGACAAGGACACACAGATATCTTCAACACACCCTCCTATATCTGAAACAACCGCTTGAAAGGTAGTTAACAATCTGATCACTTACCTCCTTTATATAAGGAAAGAAAACGAAGAAGAAACACAGGAAGTTAATGAGGTCCACTGACTGAGATTGTTACATACCATCAAATACGCATTGGAGAGAGATTGTTCAAAAACAGTAAGGACTTTGAAATCTTTGTCCCCATCAAACGGGTTTGTTTGAATGAACAAAGGAAAAAAGTGGTGGAAATGAAGGGTTTTCTTTTCCTGCTTGCACCCGCGAGGTGTTTGAACTTGGAAGCATTCAAAGGTTGAGATGGTTTTCATTATTATTAAATAGCTTACGTTGGACCAAAAGATTTTCTGCCTAGCTTCCATGAAAGATCTCAAGAGAAACAAAACAGGAAAACTATTGACCAGTGACTCTTTTCTGTACGGAAATGGTCGGTACCACTGTTATCAAAACTTATAACATACAAACGGCATATTTCGACAAAAGTCGCCAACGTTTTTCAAAAAATCATTCACATTACGTTACATTGTGACTTCATACACACGAGTTGCCTTAGTAAAAATATATTTGATGGAGGCACATTCTGATCTTATTGTATCTAAGATGTGCTGGATCAAAATTTATTATGAGATAATAATTTATTTCTGTTTTTTTAACCTCAAACAATATCAATATGTGTAGATTATCGCATATGAACTATAAATTATATAGAGTTACAAATCAATTAAAAATTAAATAATTCAACTTACAATAAAAATTAGTGATGTGATAGAAATAGACGAAATAAATATAAGAAGATAAAATTCAAATATCTCCTCTTCTATTACATAGATTTCTAATTCTTCTAACACTGTCAGAAAGTCAAAAAATGAAAGTACGGTTATTGATGTCCATATTCTGTTTGTAACTCATGAAACATGTTTGCTGCCATGGAAACGCAGGGCGGAGCCAGAAATCAATAAGACCCAAGTTGGGTTATGCAGTTACAATTAGTGGGTGTCAAATGTATCGGGTTAAGCAGTTTATAGCTAAATTTTTTATACTTGTTTTTTAAATTGAGTGTAAAAAATAGTTCAAATCTGACTCCTTTTTCAATCGAGATTTATCCAATCTGAACTTGAGTAATTCGGGTCACTTATCAATTCTAACTATAGACGAGAACCGGCTTCTTCCATGTGGAAGACGACGCGAATTGAAGTTTTCTATCGTTGAATCTTGAATCCTGCAGCACATATTAGTCCTCCACAGCAGCGACGAGGTTGGGGTATGTTGACCCACTTCTTCTTTGTCTCCAGTCTTTACTCCTTGAGAGGAGCAACAAGAAAATTCCCCAATCCTACTGTGTGGTTCAACACGAACAATAATATTACAGAGATCAAATTTAGAGAGCCAATCAGAAATCTAATTTATCGTAATGATCCAATTAATTATGAATTTTAATATTTAATGGAGTTTTAATTCATGTTTTCCTTTAAAACAACCCAGTAGCCCATCCAAAAATACCATATTGGGCCCCCCGCCGAAAAGTCCCAATGAAACCCAACGTAAGTTCACAGAATGAGAACTCCACTAAAAGCCGACAATTGAGCTTTCATATGGACCAACTTAGTGGGCCATATGGTGTCTCAATCGTAGCTTATTAAAACTTGTCCCATTCACCTAAGTCCTAACTCATTTCTAATCACCTAAAATCAAGTTGGTATGCATGGTTGGTGTATCATTTAATTGTCCGAGAATTCCTGCATAGGTGCCGTTAGGTGTTTTTTTTTTGTTGAGAAAAAAAGAGAGGTGGAGGCAAGAAGGAATGTCCAGCGACCACCCCGATAAATTTTAATCAATAGGATTATAAGGTCCTGACTGTGTCTGAAACACCTCTAGAGACCAAACTTAGTTAGGCGGTCGGCCAACCATCAAACCTCAATGAAGACTCCAAGACTCGAACTCTTAACCTCAAGGTGAAGAGTAAGACCGATACCTTACTAGACCACCCACTTGGTGGTAGGTGCCATTAGTTAAAATGACGGTGTTTTTTATAAAATAATATCACTTTTATTAATATTGATTAACAATTAGCGACAAAAGAACAGAATCACAATTCATTTTTGTAAAGTCTGAATTCTAATCGACTTACTCATTTATTATACAAACTTAGAGTAAATTCAAATCTATTAATTTATTATTATTATTATTTTTTTTTGGTACGGGGCGACCAGACCCCGTCTTGAAATAGATGCCACACCACATGTGATGAGCGCAATCGAATTGTTCCCCATAATGGCAGAGCTAACAAAACCTGAGACGACAACCTCTGTTTCAGGTACAACTTCTTGTGTTTCATCTTTTTTTTTTGATGATTTCTCTCATTTACCCAACCAATCGATTTGCAAGAGCTGTTCTATTCTCTTACGATATACACTTCTGTTCTTATTCATTGTCTTTTTATTGTGGCTAATGCTAGAAGTAGATGCAAATTATGATCTAATTTATGAGTTTCGGCAAACTATACTTTGGTATGGGATACTTTGAGTGATGGGATTGTTAAATAATGTATAACCCGCATGAAATTAGTATATAATTGTTGAAATGTAATCTTTTTGGTGGGTTTTGGGCGAAAGTGATAATTAGTCATTGATTCTTCATTAATAAGAATGTGTTTGATGAGAAATTCTTACCGCTAATGTTTGCTCATTAGATTATTTTAATTTAATTTTTTTAGTTTTTACATTGTTGCTAATTCATGTTTTCGCTACTGCCCCCAATTTGAAGAGAATTAGAACCCTAAAAAATGTTACTTTGCGGTTGGCTGCATAAATTTAGGGACTCGGAACTGGAATTGGAGGGAAAGTTGTTCAATTTTGAACTGATGTAGTGTTGTCAATTCAAAAGCATGGAGTTTATTCTACCAAGTGTAGGTTTAAAAGAGTCGGTGGGTTTGATACATTTCCCAAACGAGTTTTCATTCTTTCACATTATTCATAATGAAGGTTTCGAGTGGGGAAATTATTTGCTGTGACAACTGACGATTTTGTTCTTTTTTTGTATGTTGAAGAGAAAGATGTAAAATCTCCAAATATAATTGAAAGGACTAAGGAAGAGGTTGAGGCCATAATTCACTCTGAGAAATCTCCTCACCATCACAAGGAAATGCATGGAACGAGTGATGGCATTGGTGAGAGCACCCCGATCGATGAAGTTAAAGGACCAAATGTATTCGAACGTATGAAGGAAGAAATCGAAGCTGTTGTGCAATCAATTCTTCCAAAGAAATGATCAAATACATTCATGGATTGTCCTTTACATGTTTTTTTTCTGAGAAGATTTGGGTATATTTATTTTCATTTACAGAGTGCCAATGATGAACTTTTGTAATTTATCTCTGTGCTATTGAACTACTTGGATGAAATGAAGTATGGTGTGGCTTGTTTGATTCTGCAATGTTGCTCTTTTAAGGGAGAAATAGATTTTATCCAGTCCTACAATGACTGATTTGTTGGTGGATTTTATTGATTAACCTTGAGTAATATTTTGGACATGTTACCATAGAACTGATTGGAGATGAGAATGCTTTCGAAAAGGGTTGGCATGAATATTGTGATATGTGATTTTTTTTTTGGTCTATGATATGTGATGTTCATGACCTTAATTTTTGTTGCCTCTTCTTTTTAATTTCTTAAATGGTTTCATGTCCTAGGTACTGCCCTTTTTGGGCACTAATACCTGTATAGATATCCCTTTATTTGTTTAGAAGTATTTGTATCAGCTGAGAACCAAAATGCCATATAGCATGATCTGCCCACAAATACGTCTCTCTATCTCTCTGTGCGTGTGTGTCGAAGGAGCTGCAGAGAGGGAGTAGTACACTAACAGTGAATGATCAAATCCCCCAGTAACCCACGTCAGTGAGAGGTTTAATGGTGTACTAGAGACCATTCACTGAAAGACATATGAGGTGCCCCTTTCTTTCCATTTGCCGTACTGGATGATGGTATGTAGTGCTCTTGTTATGTAGCATCCTTTAACCCACCAAGTTCCCCCTTTTTAGCAAAACAATTTCTTGACACTCCTACCAATTAACACTTGTGCAGTAAACTGCTGACAACCAGATCATCATCTAGTTAATGCCTACATTTACCAGCTGTAGAAGAAAGGGCGTTGAAAGGTGCAATCAAATATCCTTTTCTCCCAGCTTGCTTCCCTGGTTTGGCTTCACAGTTCACCCCATAAATGTATGTAGTGTATCTAGTAATTAGTTCCCATTCTTACAAATCAACAATGCTTACCTAGCTCCTTTCTGTTAACCAGTTGAATCATTGCTTATTTTTTCACCCAGGAAGAAAGAGAAAACCTTGCGGTGCACGAGATTTTCTGTACTTTTTAACTTATAAGAGAGTTAGATGTATGCATCACATTCAGATGCATTATTTTGGCGTGTTGATCCTATAACATTTAGCTCACAAACACTCTAATACTCCTGATAAAAGGAGTACTTCATTAAAAGCCCCGGAATATAGAATGGCCGGCCTGTTTGGATGGTAGAACGGGAAGAGGAGTTGTGCCCACTCTCTCTCCTTGCACGAGGCAGGAGCCCAAAACACAATTAAAGATAATCAAGAGGAATCAAGAGTGGTTTGCTTGAGCTTGAGTGGTTGACTTTCTCTCCATGATCTAGATAAATCAAGAGTTCATGACCAGGTTCAGACATAGAGGTGCCCCCAAAGTACAATTAAAGATAATCAATTTTTAAGATTAGAACATAGAGGGAAAAATGGTCCAGATGTAACCCACATATTGAAGGAAGGTACACCTGGCTGTGTTCCCAATCTATGAATGCAGTTGACCTCAGGTGCTTATCTTGTTAACTAACTCATTTAACTTTTTCGTTACCAAATGTTTCAGACATTGATGCTGTGTATTAAATGAATGAGAAATGAGTTTCTTCCGATGGATTTCTTTCTTCCTTTTCTGGAATGAAACTATCAGAGAAAAGAGGCTCTGCAGTCTATGTACCCAAAATTTTTCCACACCAGAGTCATTTATACCGGATGGTACAGGTTTTTCAGACCCAAAAAGGCTGCTGCTGTTCTGGGTCAAGGCCCACATCATATAGTACACTCTTGTGGATTTGATGTGTGTGTGTGTGTGTGTTTGAGAGAGAGAGGAGGTGGGGTTCGCTTGTGTTTAGGAGTAAGCAATCACAGATGAGAGGAGGGACAGAGAAAACAGATTAGTTCGTAAGGTTTTCAAGTGAGTTGTCAAATGGGAAAAATGAATTTATTGGCTGTTCCACAAGAAAAATAGAATCACTTGTTTGTGAAGTAAGATCTCTCTCTATCAATGCTACTTTGTTTTTTTCTGTAAGTCTACTTAGGCTGAGAGAAAACCAAGAAATTTGAAAGGGCCTGGCTTGCTTTTTTGGGAAATGGGGATTTTTTTGTATGCCTTTTTTCTTCCGTCCTTATATTCCAGCAATCATGCACTGGCTTCCTAAAGTGTGTGTGATCCATCTCTCTCTCTCTCTCTCTCTCTCTCTCATAGACAGATTCTCATCATAATCACCATCATCATTCAGCCTTAAGAATGAAGGGAAGATTTTGTTGCTTTATAATTGTTCTGCAAATGATGAGTTTGGTTTCTGTAACAAGCAGGCCCTTTCCTTCCCATGATGATAAGGGGGTTCCACCAGGTTAGTTACCTGACCTAAGCTGTTCCCTTTTTTCTTGCAATGATCTCACCTAAATGGTTTTATCTTCTTATCAGCCAATGTATCTTGCTTCTCCCATTTGCTTATTTTCTAAGGAATTTAAAGAAATTATTCTTTCTGAGAGAGCATAATCTCAAGTATATCCAATAAATGTGTCTAGTACATATAATTCTTGCTAGAAGTTCCTTTGATATAGTCTCATTTGGCTTCTCACTCCATCAAAGCCAACACAGTTCATCAAAAGTTTCTTCTTTTCATAAAAAAGATCACACCTTCATTAGTTTAATCTTCTTTAACTACCTTTTTTGATAGCAACTCAGGTGTTGGAAAGCTTTTCGAGTTCGGTGCTCTCCTACTCATTCTTCACTTCCAGTTTCAAAGAATAGCTCCCTTTTTATCACTCACCTGCAACATATTTTAGTCTTTTTTCTTGTTTCAGCATGAATTTACATTTTCCCTCCAATCCCTTTTTCCTTTTGATGGGTAAGACTACCGTATGCGCATCAGAAGTTACAAATAAATAGAAATTAGTTGTATCTTGTTTGAGTCAAGTTACAACTAAATAGATTTAAGTTACTCGGAAAAAAGTTACGATTGATCTGAAATTGTTAAGATTGTTCATTAAACATTGTATTGTATTGTAATTTTATCTTGTTGAATTATAACCTAAGCATTATTTTGTGGTAACTTATGGTACAATACAAGAAATTAACTCTGCACATGCTCGTTCCCCCTATCACAACAGTTGTGGTATTGTTCTAAAATTGCATCCTTGTCCCTTGATGTTGATCAGGAATGGACCAGAGTGCCCAGTCTCTGCAAACTAGCCTGAGCTCAAAAGAGGTCTCTCTCTCTCTCTCTCTCTTGTTTGTTGGATATATGTTTGACAAATTGTGTTCTAATGTCTGTATCTGTCTTCCCTGAAGGGTAGAAAAAATGTGGCAGAAATGAGTGAAAAGGCCTCATGCAAAGGGGTGAGCAGAATAGGATCAAGTCCACCAAGCTGTGACAACAAGTGTTATGGATGCAGTCCATGTGAAGCCACTCAAGTGCCCACCACCACCAGCCGTGTGGGTGTCCAGTATGCAAATTATGAACCTGAGGGTTGGAAATGCAAGTGTGGCCCTACTCTCTATAGTCCATAAACACTATCAGAAATATTAGAAACCCTGATTCAGCTCATCGCACTTCATTCTGTTAGCCCAAATTGATCATTTCATGCTATGTATAGTACTAGATTTAGGTAATTTCTTGTCGTACCAAGATTTATGGAAGAATGTTGCACTAGAAAATGAGACTCTACTCGTTACGGATAAATAAATGGTTGGAGACTTATTTCCCAACTATGAAGCACGGATATTTCGTTGATGTCGGCGTATCCGTATCAAATATTTTATCGCATACAATATTCGTCGGATACTCGAGAATACGTATCAGATACACCTACTATGTATCTAATAATAATTAAATATTAGGATACTTCACGGATACTTTTGTATTCAAATAATATATATAATTTTTGAGTTAAATTTTTTAACATTTTCTTTCGAATTCACATACCATACATTACATTTACAAAAATTCATACTACTTCAAAGGTATATGAGTATTTTTTTAAGTATTATTTACAATTACATGTCAAAAGAGCATAAAATAAATCTATTACACTATAGTTTTAGAAAAAATTACTTTTAAATAAATCGACTCAGTAAATATTAGATTTGATTTATTTAATTAGTCACTTCACTTTGAGAATATACCACAGTGATACGATACATATTTTCTTCAAACTAAAAAGAATTACTAATATTTCTTATTATGTTAATAAACTACCAAATTATAAAAGTATTACGCGGATTGAAAATAATAAAAATATTAAATATGTTTTATTATAGTCGTATCTTGATCTTACTCGTATCCTTCTTTTTTAGATTTTGTCATATCGCCGTATCTATATCGTATCTTACATATATTCTGTATTCGTATCCGTATCCGTATCCGTATCCATACTCCATCATTTACAAATGACTTGTGAAACGTTAACCCTATTAAAACTAGCAACTCTGTGTTCGCAAATTACACTTGAACTTTAACCCCATTTTACCAAATAATTACTAAAATATTATGCGATATATTTATACATTTACATAAAATTTGGGTTGAATACTAGTTAAATCGAATATTGATAAATTCAAATCCGGGAAGAATGATATATTGAATTAAAAAAAAAATTATCCATCTAACATTAATTAGATTTAGATTTGGATTAGAACCTCAAGTGAGAGGCCAACGAATGGTCGATGAGTTCAAATGAATTCGATGTGAGTTTAAAAAACTTATTTTTTTGATCATGTTCAAAAAATAATTTAAATTTGAATTGTGTCAAAAACAAGTTTAGTCGAATTCGAATTGAACTTAAGTATTCGCACGTAAACAAGTCGAACCTGTTGAATTTATTTTTTAAACACACTTAAAAATTATTAAAAATCAACTTGTTTATACAAGTCAGTGACAAATCGAATCGAATTTTAGTAGTCCTTTGTTAAAAGCTACGAATAAGCTATTGGGCTGGGTACCGTACTTTATTGTTTGTTCCGATGTAATGACTTACTACCAAAAAAAATATCCACATCGGAGAAGAAAACCATCAGATCTCTGGCGTTCACCGGTGCCCAATACACGGATCTGGAAATCGCTTCCATTAATGGCAAACTTCTCAATCCATCGCGTAGGTCTCTCTCTCTCTCTCACAAATTTGAGGAATTTATGTGACTCTTTCAATTTTTTCATGCAAATGTATGTTTTCTCGTTGATCTACAGTTATAGGTGTCAAATGTGTTGGGTTAAATAGGTAGGGGTGTCAAACGTCTCGAATTAAACAGTTATGTGTTAGATTAAACATGTAAATCTGTATATGACACATTTAATAAATGGGTGAAAAATCTCATTACGAACTCGACTCATTTAATAAATGGGTAACACAACACGACTCGATTAACCAGTTTAATTTTTAAAAAAATTATATTAATAAATTTTAATACTCTATTTTTTTTATTGTCAGTTATACTTACCTCAAAAAAAAAAATTAATCAAATTTTACATAAAAATTAGATTTGAAGCCTAAAAAAAAAAAGGAAAGAGACCACTGTCTTTTATAGACAAATCAACTCTCTCATCTCCCATCATTTGCTTATATGGGACAAAAATAAAAGACATTGGTTTGCCTTTGTCTTTAAATTGCTCTTCCTCTTCCCTCATTTGTCTTTGAATAATTGTTTTACTTCTTTTTTTCTAACTAATTTTTAAAAATAATTATGAATTTATTATTATATTAATTTTATTTAAACATGTGATAAACGGTTTGACAAGTCTCACCTGAACACGACCTGTTTATTAAACGTGTCTGATGGGTCAACTCGTTTACCACTCAAACCCGTTTAATTCGTGTCGGTTAATCATGTCGTATCAAATATTGACAGGCCTATCTACAATATTAAAGATATATCTTAAAATATTGACAGGACTTTAGGCGGCTCAACAACCTTCAGATGACACGTGAACAGTTATAGTCGTAATGGACCTCAAAGGACGCCAGGAGAAGGAGCCAAAGAGTTATGACCCTGGAGAGTTGAGTATACGCTGATCGAGCCCAACATTAAAGAAGATATTACTGCTCATTAATGAGGACTTGTGTGACTGTAATAGAGCTTTTAATGAATTTTTGTGTCCTCGAGACCCACAGAGTCATTCATCATTATAAAACATTAATTGTCATTACACCGACCTCTTGCAGAAGTGATTATTCCCGAGCAAGTAATGCTTGAGTGTAGGTGTCAAGCACCAAACTGAGACTCTAAATGCTCGGGGGATCCCGAACACGGGTTTATTCTCCCGAGGGGTTAATCTTAAAGGGATTTGATTGGATTGTAATTATTATGCTTGGATATGAGTGTCAGCCATTAAATATTAGGATGAGACTCACAGACCTCTTTATCATTATTAGTTCAAATATGAATACTCCTGAGAAAGTTGAACAAAGGTACGCAAAACAAAAGCTAGAAAATACATTGTGCTCATGTCTCTGATGCCAATTGACTATACCCGATGTTCAGCCGATTTCTTGCCTAACCTCTTTTATTGTTTCAGGATCATCATTCAACGGGTTGTTATCTACATTTATTGCAAGAATTCACCCGTGTAAATATCTTTGGTGTGTTTCAATTCACATGTAATTGTGTCGTTACTCAAATTAATTTCTCAGATCAAGCACACACAAATACAATATGAGAACAACAAAACAAATCGCAAGAAGACGGAAATGAAACAGAACAGAAGAAGATCCAAGGGAAAAGACGAAGCAAAGAACCGTTGCTTTTCAATATTTAGTCTGCGGCCACAAGTTCTTGAATCCAACAAGACCTTTAATACTTGATGCATCATTTACACTTCTAATACATTAGAAAAACTCTTAGAACTAGAAAGAAGAAAAAAAACCTTACAATAACCAAATTAATATATAATTGGAAAATTGTTACTCAAATATGCATTATCTCTCGCTTTATGAATTTTAAATCATAGTGTACGTTGAATAGGTATGGTTATGATCTGGTTTTTATAGGAGGCCTGCCCTACTGTAATAAACATTCTTCTTCTGGATTTTGAAGGGAAGCGTGTAGCGGTTAAGTACTACCCGGAGGATTGGCCGACAAACAGTGCAAAGTTAGCTTTTGAAAAGTCTGTATTTAGCATTTACCAATACTCAGAAGACAAATGCCCGGACTGAAGGTAGATCTACTGTCCCTATTGTTTGACATTTCTGCTGATGATCTGGAAATTATAGATCTATGGGTATTATTTCTTCAGCTTGTTGAGTGTATGTTGCTAGTTAATAATTGTATGTTAGATTCAGGTATTAGCAACTTGCTGGAATTTAAATTTCTGTTTTTTGTTGAATGCGAAAGAGATAATTGACACAACAATCATGCATTTAATTTCCTTTTTGTTGATAACCGTCAGAGAAAAAGTACATTTGAACCCCTGGAAGTCGTTGTTTAGATCTTTGTTGATGTGTTGATCTGCAGCAGAGAATGGAGATTGCAATGCTTCTATAAGTTTGTCCAAGATCTGCACTTCGTTGTGACTGGAGGAGATGATGAAAATGAACTAATACAAGACAATCCTTCAGGGGGTTCTTTGATGCAGTAACCCTTCTTCTCAGGTTCTGGTGGTCATCCTTTTGGCGTTGGTCATTAATTTGTATGTGATGTTGTCCTGTTCTATATTATAGACGATGTCAAATCTAGCATGCCCTTTTTACAGGTACAATGTTGATCAAAGGGAGGCACTTGAGAACTTAGATCTGATTCTCTTATGCCTTGATGAAATTGTTGATGGAGGTTAGGCAATATGCTTCTAGCGGGACTCTAGGTGGCTTTTCAGTTCTTGAATTGACACGTGGAATAATGAAGTCGTTGAAATGTCCAAAAGGTACCGAAGAGGTAAGCTGAGATATGGTGACACGGAGCAGCCGAGTACGACAGCTGGCGTCGTCCAAAGGGTGCCGAGGAGTTAAGCCGAGGTATAGTGACACGGAGCAGGCGAGTACGACAGCTAGTATCGTATTTAATGCGATGTGATCCCACATTTATGGCGGAATAAGTGATAGTGACAAGGCAAATAAATGCGCGTCTGTCAACACCTGTCCTCTGGGAGTCTAAGCCTACTGTCATGATGGCTAAGGATTAATGACTGATACGCCGAGACGACGCGATTGACTCTCCCGAGGAACTGTTCCCCCCCCCCCCGAGTATTCAATGCTTAGTTGATGTCAGATGCCGATCTGGGGAATTTGGGTACTCGGGGAGTGGCATAAATGCTCGGCATATGGTCGAGCATTTACCCCATTTTTCTAGCATTCAATAGGAGGAGACGTGAGTAGAAAACACTCATTGCACTAGGAATAGTATGTCAGATGTAAGATGTTCAGATGAGACTGTAGATCTATAACAATCATTGTTAATTCAGGTATAAATACTCCTCAGAAAAATGAACAAAGGTACGCAAATTTGAACCAGAAAAATAGTCCATAGAGCAAAACCTTTCGACCTTATACTGACTTAAGCTTTGGAGGGAAAGAGCTGGGCAC